GTTCTAATTTCTTAGTCAACTCAGTCACTTCTTGGGACCTAATCGCTAATCATCTGGCTTGCTGATAAGCAGTTATTAGGGGTTGGGCTGCCAATCACTCTTTTTGAGCAACGGGAAGCTTTTGTAAGGCTCGGGAACCATAGACTTGGCTAAAACCTTGTTGGTGAATGGTTTTTAGTTCGGTAATAGTTTTCCTAAGCTTTTCTTTGAGTATTTGTCAGGACTCTATTACTTGTTCCTGTTTTTTTTTTTTTTTTGGCATGATTAGTCGACTTCTTCTATTTGAGAACCGGGACTGTCACTTCTAGTTAGTTCATTAATTTTTATTTCTAGGACTTGGATTTGTTTTTCTCTCTCCATCTTTTTTTTTATTTTCTTCGGGTAAATAAACTAAAAAGTAGTATCCTGTGGCAGATAATAAAAAAACTATTAATAAATGTTGCTGCTGGTTTTTTCTCAATATTCTTTAGTTCTTAATAATACCTAACACGTTCATAATACCTACTCTGTTCATACCATCGCTTTAAATTCTCTCAATCATCTGTAACTATTAACTGGCAAACTTGTGCTAATTTGGCTTCTAATCATTCAATTTGGTTAATTTGTTCTTCCAACCTGTTGTTTTTTGTTATTGTTCCTCTTTTGTCTTGGGCTTGTAAGTTCAGAATTTTTTCCTTTAATTGAGTTCAAACAGTTAGTACTTGTTGGTGCAGCATGATGAGTTTATGATAATTGGGCAGTTAATTCCTTAAATTCTTTAAGTAAAGTTTCTAATACTTGCTCGTTTTCAGCATTCTCTTTTAAAGTGGTTTCTAATTTACGGTTGCTTTCATTAAGTTTAGTGTTAGTTTCGGTAATAGTTTGCTGTTGGGCTTGTAATTTAGTAGTAATCTTTTGTTTCAGGGTAGTGAATTCCTTTTGTAACAGTTCTAATTTTTGTTTGAGCATGTTATTTGATTTGTTGATTTAGTTGTTGGATATTTTTAATGAGATTATCCAAGATGGGTTCTAATTCTTGGTTATTTTCCATTGGGTTTGGGTAGGTTTCCGTTTGGGTACTGTGGGACTGGGTTGAGGGTGAAATAGGTTGGGACAGTTTCTTCTTTGGGGGTCGGTAAATAAAAAAGTAGTAAAGTAAAGCAATTATTAGGGCGTAAAATAGTAAATCATTCATGTTATTTTTG